ACACACACACACACACACACACACACACACACACACACACACACACACGCACACACACAACAAACACAACCACACACACACACACACAAACACACAACAAACCGGTAGGGGTGAACGACCTGGAAACAAGAAGAACAGGTTCCCACGAAGATCCTACTTCGAATCCCGCTCCGAACACCCCCCAGCCTAAAACCCTGTCCACGTGTCAAGTAGACAGGCTAACAAAGAAGTGCGACTCTGCCCACGTACGTTCCCTTCTGATCCCTGTCAGCATCACGCCGCTACGTCCTGTTTCCCTTTCCTCGTTTTCGATACGTCCTCTTTCCTTTTATTCCCAGTACTACCCTTTCAAATCATTCCAAGACGAGACATTATCATCATATAATAAAGAAAAAGACAAAACTGATGTACGGCAATACTGTGCTACCACGTGGCTTTCAATTTCGCACGTGATGGTTTCGTGAAGGATCGCGGCTGATCAGCATGCTACAACAATCATCCGATAAAGAGCACGCCAACAAAGAAGCTCGATCAGCCAATCTCAAGGCCTACCTACACCATCTAGCCCACTGGTTGTTCCAACTTGTTCGATTGCAAGAGACGCAGTTTCCTTCCGTTCGCCGCACAGAGTTGATCTCGCGCCCTCTCTTGTGGCTAACTAACAAGGGACATCAACCATTAATCTGTTTTTGCATTCTTGTTGTTCCCTTCGTTCCCTTCAAGCCTGTGTAAGGACAAAGACAAACGACTGCGGTTCGCGCCTTCACAGACGTAGACGACTCAAATCTTCGACAGCGCCTTCACGGAGGCAACAGCAACCATGGCACCAAGGGAGAACATATAAACGTAAACGTTGCATCTGTTTTCATTTTTCAATATAATAAAAAAAGGAGAAAATTTTCGCACAAGTTCGCGCTCTTGCTGCCAAGTCATATAGCAGAAATGACGTGCTGCAAATTACCGGTAGAGCATTCAAATTTTTTCCGGACCTCCGCCCGTACCGCTGTAGACCTTTCACCGAACTTGAAATACGAACGAGGGACTGACCGGCCCCAAGGTCCCCAAGGCATTCAAAGAACTTGATTCATCTCATTCACCTAGAATCGAGCTCGGGTCTCTACTTCAAGAGTTCCCTCGGGAACGATACCTACAAGATTAGCATGGCCCCTGCGTAAGGATGACAAGCATAAATGGGGAAAAGGTCCAGGAGTTCACGTGTGTACCAACTGAGATAGGCCCGTTGGCCCACCGGTGTGCCAACTGAGATAGGCCCATTGGCCCAGCGGCCCAAGCTCAGCATTAAAGAGGTCTTGGGCTCAATCCCAATGGCCTCATTTACATTCCTGGGCGTACTTGGCGCCCGCCACCTAGAGATAGCCCGTTGGTCCCCTTGATCCGCATTGAGTCGAGACTGCTGATGTTCGTAGGGGCAGGGGACCGGAGGAGAGGCTCAGGGGTTGGTCCAGTTTGCATTGTCCCGCACGCCACCGGCTGACCCCTGGTCGGTATGGCCCACCTGCAGGTCAGGTGCAACGCCCGGATGTCCCTGGTTGGGGGCTTGAACACAGTTGTGGCTGCTGCGGGGTTCCCTGTAGTACTATACTGCCATACCGCGTCCTCGGGTAACACGAACTAATGGACACCTTTCAAACAACTATCCAAGCTATTAAATCGAAGTCGCATAAAACAGATCCTACAAACCTTGTGCTCGCCTACAACGACAGAGCGAATCAAGAAAGTAGTACGTACCCTATCTTACAAAGATATAAAATAAAGATAATCATCGACAAAGTTGTCTCCTCGAAGGTTGACACTCATGGTCGCTGAAAACAAACGATTCCACCAAGTGGCAAAACTTCATCGATTCCCCTGACCAACCAACAGACATATGGGAAACCAATCGTGACCAAAGGAGAGTCGCGGATCAGCAATCAAGAATCTCGCTAGTCCATTATGATTCCTCAGCTTCAGTCACAAGGATGCTTTGTCATGACCAAGACCTGTATAAAACGATAAGCCAAACGACCAAAAACTTTCATTTTGTGTAACACAAGCTTCATATTTGAGACCAGTTCTATCAATTGCACCCCGATCTTGGTTAGAAATAGCTTATAAGGAGAAACGCACCAACGCTCAAAATAGTCATCCCACCTGCGTGCATATGTGCCAGGAATAAAAAAAAACTTTCTATGTCGTTAGTTTTTTTTACCGAAATGTACAAACGATGCAAAGTGCGAAACGAAAAGAAAACCATTTTTTTTAGAATGCAAAAAAAAAATAAAAAAATCGTAAAGCGAAAAAAAAAAAAAGGAAAAATTGTTCCTAAGTCACCTTTCTCGTTTAAAATAGGCAAGAAAATACAACGTAGCACCGATGTCATCGTTTAAGTTTCAAAACGTTCAAGTTTAGCAGGGGGTTAAAACTGTGGTCGTTTTTCTTAAGTGGTGTGAATGCAGATTTACTGGTGTGTTTTTTTGCCTTGTTTTGATAACTGATAAAGTTGTCTATTCCGAATGCTACATGTGATCCACGTGTTGTTACCCCAAAAATAAAACAACGAAAAATAACATCTCATTTGGGACATATGTTGATCGGCGGGCAAAACAGTTACCCACCACCTGTTGCATCCAGAGGAACGACAGACGAACGACTGTTTGCAGCCCACCAACACCCTACCTACCAGGTCCCCACTTCACCCCTCCATCTTCTTCATGACCCCCACTTCCGTTGGATACTCCCCCCATCCCTGACCGCCAGAGCGGCAAGTGCTCGTATGTGAAGCAAGAGCGAGAGCAAGCAAGCGATCAACAGAACGTTCTCTCTCTTTCTCTCTCTCTCTCTCTCTCTCTCTCTCTCTCTCTCTCTCTCTCTCTCTCTCTCTCTCTCTCTCTCTCTCTCTCTCTCTCTCT